GTTGCATTTATAATTTTGTTCAGTGTATATATATATATATATATATATATTAGTATATACTGTCTATGTCTAATTAGTGGTGATTGCATCCAATTAATGAGCCATATGTCATATGTCACAATTACTTTCACATATTTAATAACAAACTCCCAACCAGGACTGTCGTTTCAGTTTACAGGGCTAGCACATTTAGATGTTTGAAAAAAAAAAAAAAAAAGATTTAAAAATCTTAAAAGCTTGTTGGGTTTATGAACTGAGAGAACATAGAGATAGAAGAGATAGATGGGTGGGTAGATTCCCTTACCAGTTCCCTTTCAGTCGGTCACTCCGAGTCACGTCGGTAACCGACGAATTGGGATCTCGCTTAGAGTGACCAATCCACTTCGAGCGTAAACTAAACGAGCCAATGCACATTGGCATGCGACGATTGCATCCAGCTGCCGCTGATCACAGCGTGAGCATAAAAAGGCAGCCGGTGCAACGCATACCAGCTTTTCGCTTCGGAGCCAAGCGACAACATCGTTCTGCTCCTACCAAACTGCTTCGTGTGTGACGAGTCTAGCGTGCTCTCGGCAGCTTTTTGTGTTGGTGGACGGCGCTTCAGCGGTGGTCGTTCCTTTGTCGAGTGGGTTGCACAGATGACCATCTCAGAGCTGCGGGCCAGGCTCCGTTTCCTCCAGGGGGCGGAGCTCCGTTGCCTCTGCCGCGATCTAGTGTTCGTCCTGGCGCCAGCCAGGCGTGGACTACTTCGGGCAGTAGCACGGGGGGTCTGAGGGTTACAGTGGTGGCAAACCCCTCAGGGAACCAACCCTTCGGGGGACCATCGATCCTCTAGCGCTTTGCAACCAGTTGAGCCGCCAAAGGAACGCGCTGGTCCCTCTTCAAAGAGCGTACCAGCGGTATCCTTCTGTGCTCCTCCCGACGACCGGATGTCGATCACTGCATTGGAGGGAGAGCTCTCTGGAGAGGAAGATTCGGCTGTGCTGCCGCCCTCCGGGAGATGGTGGCAAGGCCTGAATCGGATCCAGAGATGTCGGCTATGCTTTCCCGGGCCGCCGAGAGGGTAGGGCTCAAGTGACTGGGGCATATGGCAGCTGCAGCAGCAGTTACGCCGCTGGGGCTGCTTCATATGAGACCGCTCCAGCACTGGCTTCATGGCTGAGTCCCGAGGTGGGCGTGGCAGCGCGGCACTCACCGGGTCCAAGTTACACTGGCCTGTCGCCAAACCTTCCCACCGTTGTTCCTCCAGGCAGGAGTGCCCCTAGAACAGGTCTCCAGGCATGCTGTGGTTTACACGGATGCCTCCACCACCATCTGGTATGCATTGAACCAGCTGCCTTTTTATGCTCACGCTATGATCAGCGGCAGCTGGATGCAATCATCGCATGCCAATGTGCATTGGCTCGTTTAGTTTATGCTCGAAGTGGATTGGTCTGTCTAATTCGTCAGTCACCGACGTGACGTCTCCGTTCCCTCCTTCAGGGAACGAGGGTTACATGTGTAACTGAGACGTTATGCTCAAAATTATTAATGCCCTTGGTAAATATGAACAAAGAAGGTTGTGAAAATAAATCTGCATCGTTAATCCTTTTGGTCTTTTATTAAATTTTTTTTTACAAAAATCTAACCTTTCATTGGAGAATAAGAATTTAAAATGGGGGGGAAATCTCATTATGAAATAAATGTTTTTCTCTAATACATATTTGTCACAATTAATCATAACATTTTATTCAGTACTTTTTGCAACCTCCTTTTGCCAACAGCTTTGAGTCTTCACCTAGAATGCCTGATGAGTTTGGAGAACATCTGACAAGAGATCAGAGACTATTCCTTCATCCAGAATCACTCCAGACCCTTTCGATTCCCAGCTCCATGTCGCTGCTTCTCCTCTTCAGTTCACCACACTCATTTTCTATAAGGTTCAGGTCAGAGGACTGGGATGGCCATGGCAGAAGCTTGGCTTTGTGCACAGTGACCCATTTTTGTTTTGAATTTGATGTTTGATTTCGGTTCATTGTCCTTTAGGAAGATCCAACCTTGGCCCATTATAAGATTTCTAGCAGAGTCAGTCAGGATTTTTTATTTATTTTTTTTCATCAGGGAATTTGATAGAATTCATGATGCCATCTATCTGAACAAGATGTCCAGGACCTCCGGCAGAAAAATAGGCCCACAACATTAAAGATACAGCAGTATATTTAATTGTACACATGGGGTACTTTTTATCACTGTGTGCACCATACCCTTCTTGAGTGTTTGCTTTTAAAAAGCTAATTTTTAGTTTCTTCTGACCATAGAACCCAGTCCCGTTTGAAGTTCCACTAGTGTCTAGCAAATTAATGTTTTTTGTTTTTTTTTTTCTGAGGAGAGCATTTTCTTTTCTTGATTTTTTTTTTCAACATGTGGTGATGTAGGAGCTGTTGGATTTTTTTTTTTTTGCTTTCTAACCCCAAGACTCAACTATTTTCTGCAGTCCTCCAGCTGTGATTCTTGGAGAGTCTTGGCCACTCAAACTCTCCTCCTTGCTTTGAGACAAAATAGACACACATCCTTTTCCGGGCATATTTGTAACATTTCCTGTTGATTGGAAATTCTTAATTAATGTCCTGATGGTGGAAATGGGAATTTTCATTGTGATAGGTGATTAAGAGAATTTGGCCTTTGTGTTCCCTCATATTTATATTTATGTGAAACAGGAAGCCATGGCTAGATAATTTAATGTTCCTAATCATCCTGGTGTGCTAAAAAAATGCAAATATAAATGGGAATATACTTGATATAATGAGAATATACTAGATATTTTACTTATAAGAATTTCTAGGGGTATTTAACTTTTTTAAATTGAAATTAAAGATTTTTTTTTTTCTTTTTTTCTTTTCGAATGAAAGATCAAATGGATAAACAATGCACATTTATTTTCACAGCCTTCTTTGATCACCCTTTTGAACACAGCAATAGATAGATAGATGGATAGATAGATAGATAGATAGATAGATAGATAGATAGATAGAGTAGATAGGTGGGTAAATATGTGTTGAATTTTTTTTTTGCACCCATACACCTTTTCCTCTATTGCTGGGACATTCAGATTTTTGCTGTTTTTCACTGCTTCTGTGCAGGATAAAGATAGAGTTTCCTTTTCTCCGGATGATGGATGGCCCTGCTGCTATTTTGGGGGCAGATGGGGGATTGCCTCTGTGGAGATCAGCATATAAAAGATCTAGTCAGCATCGGTCTGACACTGCTTTACTGTTCCGCCAATAAAGCTCACAGAAATATGGAGGGACATTACCCTTACGCCACACACCAGGAGCAGACATTCAATATTTTTCTCATTCAATCATGCCTACACTTTATTCCTATCCGCTCAAATAATGTATGGACAGGACTGAACTTGAGTCAGCATCCTGCGAGGATCTCAGATATATTCTTCTGTCTCTCTCTCTGTGTACTGTCCAGTCGCCCAGTGGTACCCTGAAAAGTGGACTTGACAGCCAATTCACTTTTATTTATTTATTTTCTTATTTTTTTTCATCGCAACAGACATGCATAACTAAATTTAGGAGTTTAGAGTATGCTGAATTTATTTAATATTTTATAAAATATATTCATGACATTTTATATTAATTTAAATTATAAAATATTTATTAAGTAATTTCTTAACAAAAAATGTTTCAATATATATTATTTAGTATATAATGTTAATTTATATATAATATTATATAATGTATTACATGATATAAGATATATGATATCAGTGAGTAGGGAGCAGTGAACACTGCATAGGGGACCCCTGAATCAGAATGCTGCTTCTCTCGTCTCGCTCTGCTAATTGCATTATTCCAGGTTCAGTGATATTGATACTAATGTGGGTGTTGTTATAAATAAGCAGCATTAAATTAATTCCTTGCTTCTGAATGAGCTTCATGTTCATTGTGTTTTGCATGAGGTACAGATGTTGATGAGAAATTCAAGCATTCGGCATGATGGAAAAAGTCACAGTTGCACTAATGACTGAACCCTGAGGAGTCACTGTTATTACTTGTAATTTCAAATCAGCCCACACACTGTTTGATTGTGAGCTGCTTTTTACATATGGTGCTGGAATTATATAGCAATCTAGCGAGTTTGTTTACTTATTTGCTACATAGTGAACATCACATAGTTCAGTATAAAATAAGCAAAAATGTGTATTTGGAGGACACAGCTTCTGACAATATTGCATGTTTGATGATGTTACATATGTGTTGCTTCCCAAATTGTAGAAAAAAAACACTGAGATGCATTCAAAATATCATTTTAATCAGATTTCAAACCACATGTCGTTGTTTAGAACACACACAAAAAAAATTGTTTGTTTTTTTGTCTGCCTGTCTTAAACTCTAAATGAAATGCTTTTGGATTTTGATTTGTAGAGACTGGTAAAAGCAGTCAGGTGTGTCGGTGCTCAGGCGCAAATGCTCAGCATCTGTGGAGATCTCATTGACTTCCTTTTGGACAATGAAGTCCCAGACAGAGTAGGATGCTACGGTCTGCTCTAACCAGAGATATAACCCTGTTAATCCTGCAGCAACAGACCTGCGGTATAGTAATGTTAGTCCTGAGATAAGCCACTTTATCTCCTTCTTTATTTCCATGCCCAGCAGGTAGACTATGCCATACTTCAGTGAACTACTCATTTAGCAGTGAATGTCTCATTTCCCCTTCCTCTTTCCCTTCCCTTTCTTCTCTCTCCTTCCTAACCCTTTGAGGCTCATGTTATTCCATTTACACCACCTGTCTTATGTTCCCCTCCTGTGCCAAACTTTGTTTCTGACAATTTTCAATTGTTTTTCTCACCACTTCAATGAGAAAACATTCTCTTGTTTCACATTTCTACAGATTTTTTCCCCCTGCCTGAGGGCATCTCTTCTTGTCTAGTCTTCTCTGTAAACAAACAATGCACAACATTATCCATTATCGCACCCGGTCTACAAACAAGACCAGCTTGTTGCATAACCGGTTCCTTATTCAGTATGTGCTATTTGTGCTGGTACCTGTCACGTTGATGACCATGTGTAATATTTGTTACAGCCCATTGTGTGTGCTGTTTGGGTCATAAAAAGATCTACATTAGTAATGTATTGTTGTAGCCTAGATACAGTGGATTCCAAAAAATCAATCAATAAAAAATAAATACTATGTATTTATCTTAATAAATTATTTACAGTTGCATAAAACCCACCTGCATGCTCTACTTTTCTCATATCTCATTTGAGGTATTTGTCTCTTCCAAAAATGCAATTTTACTGCTCAGTGGGTTCTATTTAATAGCTCAGGACAGACACTTAATTGAGTTATCGATTTTGTTTCTCTCAGGGTCCAGAGTTAACACTTACCAAGTGCCAATAGTGAGTAAAACGTGGCTTTGGTGGGATAAGAAAACACTTGGCTTGTACATTTATATGGAAGTGGAACATAATACATGGTTTCAATCAAATTCTATTCAAAGTGTAAAATCATTTTAGCATCTTTTATTATTGTTGTACATATACATATGGTAACACTTTACAATAAGGTTCATTAGTTAACATGAACTAAGAATGAACAACACGTCTACAGCATTTATTAATCTTAGTTAATGTTCATTTGTGACCTTGTAAGCTTTCCATTGATGTATGGTTTGTTAGGATAGGACAATATTTGGCCGAGATACAACTATTTGAAAATCTGGAATCTGAGGGTGCAAACAAATCTAAATACTGAGAAAATCGCCTTTAAAGTTGTCCAAATGAAGTCCTTAGCAATGCATATTACTAATCAAAAATTAAGTTTTGATATATTTACGGTAGGAAATTTACAAAATACCTTCATGGAACATGATCTTTACTTAATATCCTAATGATTTTTGGCATAAAAGAAAAATGTAATTTTGACCCATACACTCTTAAAAATAAAGGTGCTTCACGATGCCATAGAAGAACCTTTTTGTCTAAATGGTTCCATAAAGAACCTTTAACATCTGAAGAACCTTTCTGTTTCACAAAAGGTTCTTTGAGGCGAAAGAAGGTTCTTCAGATTATAAAAAGGTAAGAAAGAGATGGTTCTTTAAAGAACCTTTGACTGAATGG